GATAAACAAAAGCACACACGGTGTTGGAATTTTTTTTTATTCATTTTCTAAAAAATAAAATAATTCACTGCTATCATCATTATGACAATGGATGTTAAATACATAGAGATATAAGTTCCTCTTATAATATTGCGACGAAATATTCAATTTCGGCAGAGGCAAATTCTGACCGTAATTAAATTCTAGAATAAGTTTTCGTTTGTTTTCATCGTTACAAGTAATTTGTAACTTGTAATTAATTTGTAACTTAACTTTCGACTCAGTGAAAAAATCACACATGTCTGTTCATGGTAAACTAAATGAGGAGTTTGACATTTTGAAAAACAATGAATAAGAGCGGTATGACATTTTTTAGCGAATTATTAGTTTTCTCTTCATAACAATTTTGAAAAAGTTCATGTAATATTTTAATATTTAAATTTGAATCGACAAAGTAGTTTCTGTTAGTCTTGGTTCTTGCGTAGTGCGATTTTCCGTGAGGAATGTGTTTCAAATGTTTTTCAGCTAAATTCCAAACACTAGATTGAATTTTGTAACGCCAATTAAGATGTTTTCCTCGGTAGTCTTGAATTACGCTATTAGAGTATATTTCTGTTTGTAAAGCTCTAATTCTTTTAAGACTAATTTGATATAACGTTCTTAGAAATTTTTAGCATACCGTCACACATAATCCATCAATTTTTATCGAATATTTCCACACTTTACGAATATCTTTGTACTTAGAATTTATAGTCTGATATTTAGTTGTTTGCATATTGATACAACCACCAAGAAAATTATCTTGAACTCGTTTGTTTCCACAATCATAAAAATGTTCAAATAGTTTTTGCTGATTTTCTTTACTCAACTTCTCATAACACGCATTTTTACAATATACATTAACACAAAAAAACTTTTTTTTCAATGATTGTACCACTTTCTGTTTGATATTCCAAACCTGACTGTCTTCGTTTCTTTGCATTTCTATTTTTTGAATCAACTTTTGAACGTTTTCTTTTATTAGATGTCATCGTGTATTTGCGCGAACTGCTCGACACGGTTACTCGTTCAAAGTGTGAAACTTTTGATATTTTTCATTATGTAAACTGCTTCTGCAGCGTGTATACACGAATTTTCTTTTCATATTTAAAAATTTTAACGTTGAATGGAAGAATGGCACTTCTTGAGATGTGTCCTTTTTTCATAACATATCTACATGTTCGTCAATTCGACTGGTATCATCCTAATAATATTAGGATCCTAAAATATTATTTTATAGGTATATAGTAGTAAGAGAGTAGATTTCAAAAACCTATGATATCAAAAAAGGGCCGGTAGTGCCCTTTTTCCTTATGTCGCTTCAATTGTAAGAAAAATGAGAGGAAAATCAATTGTTTTCATTTTTAAAAAGATTGCACAATATTTAACATCTTACAATTAGTTTATTCAGAACAAAAATCTTGCTCTATTAGTGTTTTTTTTAAAGCTTTGATCAGTCGCTCCGGGAGAACTGATCAATGGTTCGGTCTGAAAATTTACAAGAATATTGCAGTATAAAAATTTACGAAAACATTAACCTTCCTATTATTATACAGCACCACAAAAAAATTTTAAATACCAAAAATTAGACCAAGGTACCAATATACTTTCAAGGTCACTGATTCCGAATCCAGGATCAGCTTAACCCTTCAAAGTCATGTTCAAGGTCCTTTCAAGGTCAAATCCGTAGAATTCATCAAAAAAAATGTATATAGTAGGTCTATAGGATTTTCGAATAGCTGATTTCATTATTAAGGACGGTTAGACTATTAGGTAAGATTTAAGTTCATTTTAATGTATCCATAAATAGTGTAGTAGATGCAAATGACGAGGAATACACTCTAAATTATACTGAAAAAGAAAAAGGTAAAATATTATAAGAGGCTGTGTCTTAGTCAGAATGCGTATCTACCAATAGATGAAGCAAAGTAGCTAACATCATGGCTAAAGAAATATACTAAGGAAGCTGAAAAAATTAAATATTCGGACTATCGCGATAAAGATAAAAAATTTCGTAAATAATTTGCGAAATATGAAGAATTCTCATTAGTGTACTGTGATAATATATTTGGATTGATGAATTAGCTTAAACCAGAATGTTACAAAACAAATAAGTAGAAGATTTTCATTGATTGGTCGAGAAAAAGTATAAAAGGCGTTCTTTTACATAACACAAATGTTTATGCATCCATTTCTATAGCACACTCAGTTATATAAGACGAAGCGTACTATCATATGTAGGTAATCTTAGATAGAATCAAGTACGATAAATAACAATGGCAAAATTACGGGAATCTTAAAATTCTCACTATACTACCAGGTCAGCAATTGCGATTTACGAAATATTTTGCCTTGCTTTTTATGTGAATGGGATAGTAGAGATCGAAAAAAGTATCATATGAAGAGTGTCTAACCTCCGAAAAAAACTTTCCAATCTGGTTGTGGAAATATAATAAAGGAACTACTTATTGATCCATCAGAAATTCTTATACCACCTCTGCACATTAAATTGGAACTTATGGAACAATGGATAAAATCTTTAAACAGAGATGAAAGATACTATTTACTTCGTAAATAGTTTGACAACAAAATTGTTTGATACTATAGAAATGAGTAATAAACTTGAAGCGATTTCCTATCATTCCTAAAGATGTATATCCTCTTTACCACTTGAAATACAGCTAACTATGATACATTTTGAATATGTAATATTTATTTTTTTGGTGCAGTTATTTTGATTCTGCTTTTGATTCTGTGTTTTCACTTTGTCTATACGTACCTATATATTAATCTGTGAAAATATACTTCACCCCTTTTCACAGCTTATGTGAGCACGTGTCCAGCTGTTTGTCTATTTATGTTGGAGATATTAAAATGAACTTGAAACTTATCTAATAGTCAAACCGATCTCAAATACGAAATCAGCTATTAGAAAAACCTATAGATCCGTTATTTCAAGTTAGTTTCGATGAATTCTGTGTATTAAATGATCTTGAACATGACCTGATAAGATTAAATCGACCTCAGATTCGGTACCAGCGATCTCTAAAACATATAGATACCTTGGTCTAGTTTTTGGTACTAAATATTTTTGTGTGTATAGCTGTGTAATGAAAGTTACTAACATAAACGTGCTACTAAAAATGCTATCCTGCTGTAACTATTACAAAAGGTATTCATAAAGCGTCGATTTGAAATAAACTTGATTATAATGGACTTAAGGAACTGGTTTTGCAGTCTGGATGGTAAGGGGAAACTTAGACTATTACAATACTAGCAGGAGAACCGACGCCCTTCTTCATCGACTGCCGTGCTATGACTATGCTATGCCATGTGCGATATATAATCACTACAGAAAATATTGCACTTATGGTAGTAAGAAACAATGTTACAAAGTATTTGACGATTGGATACCACACACAAGAAACTGTCCGAATGATAATCGAAAAGCATGCCTTGCAATTAATCGTAAGCTGGACAGTAAAAATGACAGAAATTATTTGATTAGGAAGTCAGATAGACCGGAAAAATTCCAATGTGCTAATCGCTAATTTGGCTCTTTTTAACTGGAACAGAAGACTGCAATTAATTATAAGTCGAGGTAAAAGTAGGTAATATGTACGTAGAAAGAACTCTGTCCATAAAATGAATCATGGCGAAATGAGATAAGGTAAGTGTTTTTCTACAAGTTATTTTGAAAATGATTTTAATGTGAAAGATGTTAAAAGTAAACAATCTGGAAAGAAAATATGCTTATTAAATTTATACTCGTAGATGTTCGAGTGTGATAGATGAATTATGACGTTTGAAAAATTATAAATTAATCATGTAAAGCTATGATTTTTTATCACGTCATGATCTCGCTTTACGACTTCGTATTGCACGAATTTCATTCTACTCTAGGAAAAATAACAAGAAAATAACATTTAATAATAAAATAAGTTGATAAATATTAATGAATCTTGTTGTAAAATGATAAAAAAAATCAAGATATCAAATAGTATTGTTATGTAGTATCCGACTTTCGAAAGACACGGATGAATTAATGAATAATTGGAACATAAAATTCCGAAAAGAAACAAAGAAAGAAAAAATACAATTGTCTTATCCAACATAACAGACTCATACTTTACATACAATTATTGATCATTTCCTTTATTCTTTTGATATCATAAGTTGAAAATTATTGTGCAACATTGTAATGAATGTGAAATAAAACGTTACAGTAAAATCATTTCTCTTCAATATTTTTCAGTGTTCATACCTTATTTTGCCTTCGATTGATCAACATACGAGGTCTGATCAATAAGTATCGTAAATTTTGTATGTTTTCAAAAATTATTTATTTATTCATGAATATCTATTTTATCTCCTTCAAAGTAATCTCCCTCGGATATAATGTACTTGTGCCAACGTTTTTTCCAATCTTCAAAGCACTTAAAAAAATCATTTTTTGTGATCTTGTTCAGCTCCTCCTTCAATGCCATCTTTATCTCCTCAATCGTGGCGTAGCATCATCCTTTCATGGGCCTCTTCAGTTTTAGGAACAGGAAAAAGTCACAGGGGGCCAGGACTGGGGAATCAGTGGCTGCGGTACCATTACTTCAAATTCACCATTATTCAAAATTCACGATACCTTGTAAACAGACCTTATATGTTTATTAAAAATATGATATCTTATAGGCTTCAGCGCCAAATTTCTACGATGAGTTCGACTAATGTATGAATGAATTTTTTTTACTAGAGTTAAACTAATTAGGTTTAAAGGACATAGGCAGTTCACAAGTACAAAAAGCTAATATATTATATAGCAGTGAATTATTTCTTTATTCAAATTACATTTCTATCATCTGAATAAAGTCATATACTTACTGTATTAGTGATACCCTTATTAAACTCCAATGTAGAAGAATGAAATAATTTTATTAAATATTATATTTACTATGTGATTAAATTTATTATGAGAATAAAATTTGTTTCAGAATTTGGCAGCTGAGAAAACTTATAATAATTTAGATGTATCACTTCGAGAAGCTAACGAACACAGGAATGAATGGTTTGAAGGAGTTCAAAGTTGTAAATTAGAGGAAACTCTTTTCACCATAATGGAAAAAATAGTGAGAGCAGAAGTAAGTCACATTGATATTAGTATATTTGATCTTAATTATATTATATATTAATTTTTCCTTTATAAACTGTTTCTTGGATATTAAAAAACTTATTTGTATATTTAAAATATATATTAATTAAAACTTGTAAGCTAGAGATACGTGAAAGTTTAATGTATCTCTAATAGGCATAGTTTACATATAATTGCGATCGAATGCGTGTTGCTACGAGGGTGGTCCGATAAGTACTTAGCCTACAAAAGAAAAACGAAAATTTTGAAAAAGTGGCGTTTTATTTTTCAACATAGTCTCCTTTTAGTTCGATACACTTGGCCCAACGATGCTCCAACTTCTTTAACCCGTCTGAAAAATACGTTTCCTCGAGGTCTGAAAAGTAGGCTTCCGTGGCAGCGATTACCTCCTCATTCGACTCAAATTTCTGCCCGGCGAGTGACTTTTTCAAGTTTGGAAACAAAAAGAAGTCGCACGGAGCTAAATCTGGAGAATACGGTGGATGGGGCAGCAGTTCGTAGCCTAATTCGACCAATTTGGCCATGGCGACGGCGGAGGTGTGAGCCGGTGCGTTGTCATGGTGGAAGAGCACTTTTTTCTTCGCCAAATGGGGCCATTTTTTCTGCAATTCGACGTCGAATCAGCCCAATAATTCGGCATAGTGTAGCTCTGTGACCGTTTTGCCCCTCTCCAGGTAGTCGATGTAGTTCACACCTTGTGAATTCCAGAAAACGGTGGCCATCACCTTTCCGGCCGATGGGGCAGTCTTCGCCTTCTTCGGAGCACTTTCGCCGGGTAAAATCCACTGTTTCGACTGTTCCTTGGTCTCTGGTGTATACCAGTGGATCCATGTTTCGTCGACTGTCACGAAACGACGCAGAAACTCCTTCGGATTGCGCTTAAACAGCATCAAACATTGCTCTGAAGTTGTCTCACGGTTGCGCTTGTTGTCCGGAGTGAGCAAACGCGGCACCCATCGCGCCGACAGCTTTCTCATGCCCAAAATTTCATGCAGGACATGACCCACGCGGTCTTTTGAGATGCCTACGATCTTAGCTATCTCGCGCATCTTCGATCATCGATCTGCCAATACGAGATCGTGAATTTTTGTCACGTTATCCTCCGTGGTAGCCGGTTTTGGAGCACCTGGACGTGGTTCTTCAAAAATCGACGTGCGACCACGTTGAAACTCGTTAAACCAATTTTTGATGGTCGCCATCGAATGAGAAGAGTCACCTTACACAGCATCCAAGCGCTTTTTGATTTCGCTCCGCGATTTACCTTCCAAAAACAAGAATCGAATCACCGACCGCTACTGCTATTTTGCCATTTTTCAAAAATCAACGGACACACTTGCTTTAACACGCTCTCAAAAATAAACTACAACTCCGATCCGGCTGAAATCTTGACAGTAACCATCTAGAAGGTTGTACTACGTGATAGAATATTTCTTTTGCGAGAATGGCGCCATCGGGCGGTGAGGCTAAGTACTTATCGGACCACCCTCGTATATTGGGTGTGTATGAGCATACATGGAAGATGGTGCGCAGCGCACTTGTCGAATGAGTGAAAAAGAATAAGAGAGAAAGAGAAAGAGAAAGAAGCGGAGAATAGGTCAATTCGTTACCAGTTGCGACTTGTATCGACTTGAATCAAATGAAAATACGTGCGTTTTTCTTTATTTTATACGAGAGAAAAAAGGTGGAATGTCGCAAGGATGAAATTTGGATTAGATATAGCGCTATCAAAGAGTATACGGTGTCTGTTGTGTTTAGAATAATGAAACATGTCATCGTCAGACAGAGCAGTAATGAGCGAAAGAGATTAGTATCTCAAACACTGGCAGAAATGGCTATTTTTTTTATGAGACATATTTCTGTCTTAACCATTTAGCATTGCTAGCCAGCATACCAGCTCTACAGCTACAAAGCTGAGAGAAGCTTGTACTCAAATCAAATTTGAAGTGAACCATACGTGAAAATTCAATGGGTTCTTTTTAAAAATAATTATTTAACAATTTTAGACAGATCAGTTGATCTTAGATTAAGATTTTGTTCTTTTATATTCTTACAGTGTCTATGAAAGTAAACAAAAAATATAATTTTCAGAATAATAATTTTTTACCGCTTGCAAACTTGTACTGATCTCCGTGAAGAAAATACTATTATCGATTTATAAATATACCAAATGGTTAAATTAGAGTATAATACTAGATATTCAAAAGGTAACTTGAAAGTATTATTTTATTAAGATTACTTCACGGTCAATGATACATTTCATGACTAGATGACCATTTATTAAATTGATAACATAATTAACGAATAATGTTGCGAACAGGAATCAATTTTTTTTAATAAACCTTATAATAAAAATTGTGTATTACAATTGATGATAATTTTAAGGAGAATGTAATATTACTCCATAGTATTTTTTTTTGTCAATAAGCTAGTTTCTTATACAAAATAAAATGGATTTCTTTTCATGATGAACTTATTCGCAAGAGGAAAATCTGTTTTGATGATAAATTAAACTGTTGACAGGCAAAATAATTCTTTCAGTTTTGTTCAAACATTCTATTAAATTGAAAAATAAATTTATATCTAAATTTATGTACATATAAATACAGCCTCATAAAAATGAATATATTGTATATAAGATAACTATTGAGGTACTTACGTTGTATTAGTTCTTTTGAATAGAATAATTTACTTCATTGTTTCATGAAAACTGCATGATTATACGTTTATTCTGAAAATGTTGTAATTTAATATTGAGGCTCATTACATCACAAAATGACAATGTACATATTTACAATCAGTTGCGGTAAATTTCATTTGATATTATAATGCATTTGATAATAATACAGCTTTCTATTATAAATTTGGAATTCAGGATGTCAATATCCAAAGGCTATTCAAAGTTCGATACGCACGACTATGAAATAATAATATGGAAAATGAAAAAAAAATGTAGCTCCGATTTGATTCAATTGTAATATTTAATGAGTACATTTTGAATCTTAATAATCTCAATCGTGAAGTATAAGTGATATTTGTTACAAAGTTTATAGAGGAAAATTCCTGTACGCCAAATTAGCCGTTATTTATATTTTCAATTCAATAAATGGTCATCTAGTCCATAGACGTAGCATTGACGTAAACGTAGCATTGACCGTCAAATGAGCTGAACAAAATAGTACTAACTTTCAAGTGACCTTGATACAAAATAGTGGTATATTCCAATTGAATTATGCGGTATATTCATAAATCATTTGTCGTATTTTCTTTACAAAAAATAATACTGTCCTTTATGTAACCTTGAGAAAGGGCTATGTCATAGATTATGTTTTAAAAAATTCACATACTGTGAAGTAAGAAAATGAGATTGCAAGAGCTTTTCAATTAATTACTAGTTGTTGTCACGTTGAAAAAATGTTAACATCCGCATTGGTAAGTACTGTAGCTTCGACTGTCTGCCCAAGTGTGTATGTACAAGTTCGCTTTCGTTGTGATGGGTAGCATTTAATAGCAAGCGAGCGAGAGATGCAATATGTTAACCAACCTACAAATTTATAAACAAAAAAACAAACGATAGTAACGGAAGGGTATTTCCGACGTCTACACACGTTAGTAGTCACGCAGTTGGCCCTAAAGTTTACAGTGTAGGCATTGAGTCCTCCTTAATAGACTGCGCCAGCTTAATCATGCTGCAAGTGACGCTATCGATCCAAACCTGGGTGTGATATCCAACTTCGTCGGCAGCACTCTTACCACTTGTGAAATGGACATACAAAATAATAAAAAATACAGTAAAAGAAAAATATTTAATAGCATAAAAAATAAAAATATTCAAAAGTCTTGAAATGAAGAAAAATTAAGTCCTCAAAAATATGACAAATGGCGTACGGATCCGGAAATGCTCGCTACTGCGCAGACACGTCATGACCACTGGACACCGATTCACTCCACTAGTGGTCGAAAATCTGTTACACACCTACTATGTATGCGTCAGCGCATCCATGTATTATGGCCACCTCAGGTGCATAGTCAAGAGGTCCGGCCCACCGTCTGCTCTTGCGTCACGAGTGGCTGTAAACCCTTGATCGAGTTGCTAACTATTTCGCCTTGTACCACTGTTGCGAACGTGCTCTGGCTCATACATTAACTGGTTGCACTACCGATCCAATGAATTACCACTCTGCGCACGTGTATCACCCTCTTTCCTATGAGTGCCACTTAAATCTTACCTAAGTATATACCTCTAAGGTATGCCAGTGCATACATCCTCACATCCAATATTTGTAGACATATTGCACAATCCCCATGAAGGATACGACGTAACTAAGATTCGACCGACAACCCGGAAGGTTCTACGCCCAGTTAGCTGCACAAATTATTTCTAAAGAGTTTTCTGGAGGTGCGAACGCTCCCATGACGAAATCGTGTACACTAGTTGCATGGGAAACTAATGTCAAGAGTGAGAGTCGATAACAGGCGAAATTCAGTGATACTCGTTTAAATTTGCTCGGCCGCACACACGTATCCATAACGCCCGAAGATACAAGAGAGAAAACATGCTAAGATCCTGATATACGCCTGTGTAATGATTGAACATTGGCTAGGCGCGACGCAGCCACAACCACAAAATTAAACTGGTAAACCTGCGTACCTGATGTGTATTCACTAACAGGTATAACTTAAAAATTCAGCGAAACCACGCTACGTTCGAAAACTCGAAACCGTCTACTCGTAAAAAGGGACAAAAATTGGCGACACACAATTCCATGATCCAGCTCAAATTGTACTTTGAATCTTCTCTCTTTTGTTGACTCTCTCTTTCTCTTTCTCCGTAACTCTCGCTTTCACACTTCTTACGCACCTCGCTTGCGAAAGAGAGAAAGGAAAATAGACATAAGTTATCACCGGCTAATACAGAAGTAAATGGGTGATGCAAAGTTGGAATAATGCCCTTCCGTGGTACTCACCGCATTGTCGTCGTGATCATCGAGC